TGTTCAAATTTTGGGTTTATTTGAAACTATTTCAAATGATTCCGAATTAAGTTTTATACCAAGACAATGTCATGCAATGTTTCAATCCGCAATAATTCTTTCTCAACGATACAATATAAAAGTTAATAATCAATCAATTGGATGTCAAATAGGACAAACAAAAGGTAATTCAATCTATGCTCTTAATCATACATGTCGAAGTTTAACAACTTCAAATATTATTGGTGTTATTGGTCCACCATATTCAAGAGAAGCTCATGTTATTGCTGCATTTGCTAAAGAAATTAATATTCCAGTTATTTCTTATTCTGCAACTGATCCAACATTATCTGAACGAGAAACATATCCAAGTTTTTATCGTACAATTCCTTCAGATGGTTTAATTGCATTGAAAATTGTCGAATTATTTATTCGATTTAATTGGACATCATGTATAATTATTTATCAAAATGATCAATTCGGATCCAATGGTGCTGATAGTATTAGTGATGCATTTGATAAAAATAAGTTAACAATTACTGATTTTGTTGTATTTGACATGGCAACAGCAAGTATTCGAGGAAATTTCAAGGATACTTTAACTCATAGTTTATCACGAATTGTTCTCTTATGGGCAGATGAAACTCGTACATCGATTATTTTACAAACTGCACTTCTTAATGATCTTATTGGTCCACATTTTCTTTGGATTTTAAGTGCAAATATTCCTCTCGATTCATTTAATGAAACTTATTACGATAAATTAATCGGTATATTAACAATTACAGCGACTGTTGGAAGTCAAATTAATACAACATTATTAAATGCAGCATATGAAATTTGGCAAGAATATGAACCGGAAACATTTCCTGGAACAGGTAATGTTTATGATCATGCGTTATTTACATTTGATGGCACTTGGTTTTTAATTCAATCATTACAAAACTATTCTTATTCATTTCGAACGAATTCTACATTTTGTTTTGATATTCATTATGATAATTTCGATCTACTTATGAAAAAATTGAATCAATTGCAATTTCTTGGTGTTACAGGTCCTATTCGATTCAATGAAAATGTAACTGATCGAATCGATGGAAATATTTTTCTTATAAAAAATGTTCAATTGACTGCAAATGATATTAACTTTGTATCAGTTTTGAAATATGTCGATGAAAATGGTTGGCAAAAATATGACAAATCAAGTGTGATTATCTGGCCGAATAATACATTAATTCCACCAACTGGTTTTCCTAAACTTGATGCAGTGAAATTGCGAATTGGTCTTATTCAATCAGCTCCATTTGTTATGACAAAAAATGTTATCGATGCATCCGGAAAAGAAAATGTTCAATTAGTTGGTTTTATTCTTGATTTTATTGATCGTTTACAAACTGTAACTGGATTTATTCCTGAACTTGTCTTAGCACCATCGAATACAACATATGGTGGAATGATTCAAGCAGTTGTTGATAATGTTTATGATATTGTTATTGGTGATATAACTGTTACTTCAACACGAAGAGAAATTGTAGATTTTTCAACTCCATTTTATGATAATACTTTTAGTGTTATTATTAAGAAAGATTCAACTGTAAAATTAGATTATTTTTCATATTTAAAACCTTTTTCTCGTAATGTTTGGTTAACATTATTAGGTGCTTGGCTTTATGCTGCAATTATATTTTGGATATTGGAACGAAATATCAATGATAGTTTAAGAGAAAAATCGACAATGTGCTCAATAATGTTAAGTATTTGGTATTCTTTATGTACAATTGTAGGTTTTGGAGTCGAATTTGCTGTACAAACAGCAGCTGGACGTATTTTAACATTTGGTTTATATATGCTGAGCATTGTTTTAGTTGCAACATATACAGCTAATTTAGCATCTGATTTAACATTATTAAAATCTCAAGGAATTATATCTGGAATTGATGATCTTAAAAATGGAAAAATTCCATTTAGTCGAATAGGAATTCTTGTTAATTCATCATTTGAAGATTATTTTCTACGAGAAATTTCTTCTGGAAGTCGAAATTATTATCCATTAAAAGAACAGAATGAAATTTATACAAATTTGATTGAAAATCGAATTGATGCATCGATTATGGACACAGGAATTTTACAATATGTTACGAATACACTCTATTGTGATTTAACATTAGTTGGAGCGACTTTTAATCCAAATGTTTATGCCATTGTTATTCCTAAACAATGGTTATACACACGGACAATGGATGTACAGATTTTAGCATTAAAAGAAGCTGGATTTTTAAATGATTTAATAACAAAATGGTTTCAAGGACAAACATGTTCCGATTCTTCATCGGATAGTTCAACTGCGATTAGTATTTCCTCACTTGCTGGTTTATTTCTTACATTTTTAGTTATTACGGCTCTTGCGCTATTGCTTTTTTTATGGACAAAACGATTCACTATAAAAGATTATTTACGTCGAACCGAATTCAAAAAAAAACTCCAACGATACTTCAAATCCAAATGAACTTAAATCACAATCGGTTACTACTCAATATTTGTAAAAACAAACAAACAAACTTGTCCTTCAGTATAGATAAACAAATTATTTTTTCAACAATTGAATTCTACGTTTCGAAAGATGTGTAAACATAAGATTTATTCTGATTACCAGTAATTGAGCGAGTACGAGTATATTTGTACTAAATCACTTCTATGGTTTTTCACTATTAAAATTCACTCAAGGCTTTTCTAATAGTTCCTAAGAATTTTCGAGAACTTCAAACACAAAAGCTTTGTTCTTTTGCATAGAAACGATAACATTCACATTATCTCCTCGCTGAACGTATATTAACATAGTTCTGATTTGTTCAAGCAGTAAGATTCAAGGTCGAACAAACTATGATTCATCTTTTGTGTAGAAATACTATGCTGAATTGATTTGTTGAGTTCGATATCGATTCAGGTGAATTTCAATCAGAATATAAAGCAATTGATGGTGAAATCGTTCCGACGCGTACACTAATAGATGGAGAACGAACATTGAATAAAAAAATAAGAATTGACTTCCTATAGTCATTATTGTAAAGAAACGATGTTGAATAAAGATAATAAAGAAAAGTGACAGTAGGACGAACAAATTTTGTTTCATTTATAGTTGATGGGTCAGTGAGAAGAGTCGCATAAGTCGTAACAAGAATAAGAATAACATTAGAAAGAATTTCTATGAAATTGAAAATAATTTGTACCAAAACTATTATTGGAAATTGGTGATCAATTCGACGACGAACAAGTGGAACAACATAATCATTTATAAGACAAGTCTCTTTCTTAGTTGTATCTGACTGAATTAGAACAAAATGAATGAAACCTATGACATTTAACCATTGTTGTCATCGAGGATGACTTGAAATGGCAAAGTATCAATCAATTACTGCTCAACATAAAGCACATAATAGACACGAAATTCTGCCGGATATCCTCGAAACTTACGATAGAATTCCGACAATGTTGGTCTAATCAGTAGTCATTAGACTTGTGATAACACAAGACAAAAGATCGGTTAGTAATTAAAGTATTTTAACAATGGATGATAATGTTAAACAAAAAGCATCTGAACTTTCTCGAAATGTTCGCAGAGTGAATACTGTCGACATGTTTGACGACGAAATTTTATTGAAATGATTCCAGTAGAAAGAATTTATTAACGAGAAAACGTGATTTTCTTTAATGAAAATCTATTTTGAAGGTAATTAAGACATGTTTTTGATCCGGAATAAAAGAAAATTAAACAATTGATTTCGCGAATTCATTTGTATCGAACACGTAACATTTGTTCATCTAAACGTGGCTCTCACCCTCAACAGACTCTATCGTATCTCATTTACTTTTATAATTCGAAAACCGTACTACTTTCAAGTAATTCTAATATTGAGATAAAAGTCTCTTTTAACAATTCATGATTTAATAATTCTTGGTTCTATATGATAATCTGACCCTTAGAAAAGATAAAGATATAGTCGTATTCGTTGAATGACATTGTAGATGTAAAGTACATAGAAGAATATTTAATGTGAGAACATTCTAAATCAATATCGAGTATTTCGAGATGAAAGAAATCTTCATGGAAAATTAATTCTACCATGAAATAATATTTCACAAGTTGGTTTTGGTAAATATTCGAAAGGACTTTGATCTCTGCTATTCTATTCAATTTGTCAGCAAACGCTTAACATATGTCGAAAAGATCTGGATTATATACGTTTACAATTCAATGGATGTGAATGTAAATTTAGTATCAAATCTCAGTCTCTGACAGATGAATTCGAAAAAGAACTTCTATTCATTCGTTTTGATGATAATCAGATCACAAATAGTGAAGTTTTATTACTAATTCCAAAAATTGTTATTGGGATCGTAAGTGCTCAAGAAAATTCAATGAGACAATCATCATTAGAGTATAAGATTTCCGGGAAACGATCGAAGTATTTTCTTCGAATAAACCGCATGACTTTTTCTTAAACTGTAAAAATTTATTTCATTCTGTTGCTGATACATTTAATCATCGAATTCAACGTTTTCCGTTGATTAACATCACTAAGCCAAACAATGAGACAACAGTTGACGGCAGAAATTATTCAGATTCTTAAAACAATCAACTAAATCGACCTTTTGCTATTTATATGTCGAAAACAAAATATAATGATCGTATTCAACGTTGGAACGCAAGAATTACTTTAGATTTTGATGAAACATTTTTCTATGTTGTCGATAATGCAAATGAAGGTGTGAGTGTTTCTTCAAGTTATTTACTTTCTTCCCTCGTGTCCATACTTTTGTGTAAAAATAAAATATGCTGATAAGATAGATTTATTTATCTTAGAACTGTTTGAGAAGAAAACAATGCGAAGTGAAAACGGTTTATGAGGTGATTTACTTTCGTATCTTCATCGCGTACCTAATCTAACCTTTGCAAAGCTGTGTCGACGAGAAATCTTCTCTGTTTTCTTTTAACAAGAGAAGTAAAAAGACAGAAGACAAAAATGCAAGGTGATATTTACTTGGTTGTTTTTCTTTCGATTCTAATTGTTCAAAGTATGTTAAAATCATTCTCTAGTTGACAAATAGATTCTGTCGATCTTTTAGTCGATGGAGTTCCTCGTTTTGCCAATTATTATCAAGATCATATGGTGTTACAAAGAGAACCTCAACGCGCTTTAGTTTGGGGTTATGGCGATGCGAATAAATTAACAAGCTTAAAAATTGGAGGCAAAACCTACGAAACTGTCAGTCGATCAGAGTCCGCGGACAATTTCGGCGAAGGTACATGGTCGGTAACACTTGATCCTGTTGATGATGAAGGTCCTTATGATATTCAAGTGTCTCAACCATTGACGAATGGAACATTGACGACAATCACTCTTCATGATGTTCTTTTCGGTGATGTTTGGCTTTGTTCAGGACAGTCCAATATGCAAATGACAGTGAGAGATATTTTCAATGCAACAGAAGAAATAGCCAATGCAGAAAAATACCCGAAAATACGTGTATTCACTAACGGACGTACACCTTCGTCTACACCTGTAGAAGAATCAATACAAATTGTACAAAAATGGTCAATCGCTTCATCTTCAAGTATTGGTGGCCCATCATGGACATATTTTTCAGCTGTTTGTTGGCTTTATGGTCGAATGATTCATGAAGCATTGGGTGGAAGACCAATTGGACTGATTGCAACGAGTTATGGTGGTACAGCAATTGAATTATGGATGCCACAAGATGCCTTTCTAAAATGTTATCCACCATCGTAAGTAAAGATAACTTCATAAAAGAATTCTTTTGGTAAATATGACCAATAGACTCAACTCGAAGAGAATGGCTGATCCGATGACAAATTCAAGTTTATATAACGGAATGATTCATCAATTTACACGAATGGTTATCTATGGTGTTATTTGGTATCAAGGTGAATCAAATAGTGGAAGAAACAATGATAAATATGTGTGTACATTTACAAATCTGATTCAATCGTGGAGACAAATATGGAATCAACGGACAAATGGAATAACAAATCTTCAATTTCCATTTGGTTTTGTTCAAGTAAGATGTGTTTTCTCTTTTGAACATTTCAAAATTCGAATTCTTTAGTTATCAACCAATAGTAATACAACAACATTTTATGGTTTTCCATGGATTCGTTGGCGTCAAACATTTGAAATTGGTTATGTACCGAATAATATTGTTCCAAATGTCTTTATGGCTGTGGCTTTAGATTTACGTGATGATCCTTTTGAGTAAAAATATTCTATTGCAAAATTTGATTCAATTTCACAAGAAAACATTTTAGTGTTCATCCTCGAACAAAACATGACGTCGCTTATCGATTATCACGGGCAGGTTTAGCAGTTGCTTATGGACAAACCGTTGAATTTCAGGGTCCAATTGTCGCGAATGTCACTTATAACTCGGCCACAAACGCAATTATTTTTCGATATACAGCAGTGAAGTCGATTGAAGTGAGAAATACAAATGGATTTCAAGTAAAAACTTTAAGTTTCGAATATCAAACGAACTTGGATGTAACTTTTAAGGTTTGTTGTCAAGGAACACAATGTCGAAATGATAATAATTGGATATCTGCAAATATCATCAGTAGTGATGCACTGAGTGTGACTGTCAAAGCACCGGCTGTGTGTGATTCGAAAGTACTTTATGGAGCGCGTTATCTTTGGTTAGAAACACCATGTCTATTCAAACAAGCAGCAATTTACAGTTCAACAGATTCCAATTTACCGTCACCACCTTATTACAAAGTCTTTTGACACTTACAAGTACTTTTAAATGAGAATGTCTTCTTTATTTCACAACAAAAACGTTTTGACTTGATAATAAAATGCGAAGAGATAAAAAAAGATTTTTCTTCTTTAGATGCTCATTGTCCGTTGATTAAAATACATATGGGCCGAGAAAAGAATTAAAGATGGTCGCTTCTATAATCTCAAAACGAAGATTTATTGGAAACATGATCTCATAGATCAACTCTACCGTTTGTCTCTCGTGGAATGACTAGAGAATTGGAATCAAGTCATATCGCATCTTCAACAAACTTTCGTAATATACGAACAAACTCAAGTCTAAGTGAGGACATCCGAACGAAGGTTAGAAACAGTAACATCCATGGAAATACTTCTTTTTGCAGATGTCGAAATCAATTGAAATATGATCAAAATATCAAGATCGATGTTCTCTTCGTCAATGACGCAATTAGTTTCTTTGTTTATATTTATTATTAATTTTAAAACTCAATTCAAATACTTCATTGTTTGACAAATCGAACTGTTCTGCTTCCATTTACTTTTGTTGTAATAGGCGTTTTGTTGGAAATTTCTTCACTAAACAAAAAACATATTTTCATTCATAAAGAAATTTCTCTTGTTAATTTTCTTTTTATGAAAATCTTTTTCCATGGGTTTTATTCGTCGCATTGTAGATACTCAATTTAAGATTATTTGTGGACGAGAAATCGAGTGTGCATAACAACAAAAAAAACATGCTCACGTATACATGTGCAATTTCCTCCCTCCTCGAGGGATTTTATCTAAACAACGATACGATCACTGTGCATCGCTTTTAAACATAAAATCAGCATGCAATAATGTATGACATATTTTCATTTAATTAGCCATAAAAGAAAGATAAAGAATTTACCTTTCTAGTAAATTAAGATGAGTGACATTAATTCGTGTTTTTGTAGCCCTACATTATGTTGATGTCGTATGATTCACAGCAATGTAAAAGTACATTCGTATGCCCTGAGCAATCTTATTTTTCTGTACTTTCATCCAGCTTTTCAATAGGAACGTAAAAAAAATGTACAGAAACAGTGTGTCAACTTGTTGTGAAGGAAAAAAAGGCGTAATAATCATGACTCTCGAAATACGACGGTTAATTATTCATAAATGTCGAAGGAGAATGAAAAGAAAAAAAAGTGTGCGCGGTGGCCTTACACATTTTTTTAAAAATCGATAAACAAGACAACTTACTACTTATATTTGTTGTGAAGTTGTGACATCAGAAAAAAATGTCAACAACAACGGTACCGGTCTCTGATAATTCTACTTCGCAAGAAGATAATCGATTGGCATATGCTCATGGTACAGTAATGGCTATAACATGGATGGTTTTTGCTTCGACAGGTATTCTTTTCGCTCGTTATGGTCGATTGTTACGTATTGGTAGTAAAAGAAAAGTTCTTGGTGAATTTGTTTGGTTTCAAGCTCATCGTTTAACTCTTTCTGTGGCTGCTTTTTCTACTCTTCTTGGCTTTTTTCTTGTATTGGCTCAAGCAACAGGAAGTTGGGTGAGTTTAGATGACGATGGACCGTATGTTGTTGCTCATTCAATCCTGGGCATAATGATTGTTGGTTTTGCTCTAATTCAAATTTGGATGGCACTATTTCGTTGTCATCCGATTAGTCGTTTTCGTTTTATTTTCAATTGGCTTCATCGATCTGTAGGACTCTTAGCTTTTGTTCTTTCCATTCCGACTATTTTTCTTATTATCAGTACTTTAACTAATTATCAAAGTGGTTTATACATTGTTATGTCAATTTGGACAGGCTGGACTGTTTTCATTTTCGGTCTATTTGAAATTTTGACATATCTCAATCAGAGAAACTCTACATCTTCATCAGAACATACTTATAGAACTGACAGAGAATATGAACTTCGTCCATCAAGTTCAATTTCAAATAACAATACGGATAGTGATCAAGAAGATCGTTTTAATCAAATAAAGTTAATTCTCCTTGGCATTTACGTGGTGATTGCTATTGCTCTTGTCATTCCCTTTATTATCCTGATTTGGCAACAGAATTAATATTATTCGTTTGTTCAAATTGAATCAATTACATTTAAAACAGTTCATATTTTTCTCTAATATTAGTTGAATTAATTTCTTAACAGATTTGAATATTATCTGTGGATTTATTTTTCCGAATGTACAAATTATAAAAAAAGATTCGTCAATGTTAGTTTTAACAGAAAATGTTCTAATTTATGTACAACTGTAGTCTCTTCCGCTTTATTCGAAATAACACTTGCAAGAAGAAATAGACATTATGAGCACAAGACTGTCTAAAAGAATATTCAGAATAGGAGTTATAGCATTCAATTTTTTTGTATCATTGTAAGTATTATGACAATTATTTATCTATGCTAAAAGTCTATATTCGAATGTAGGTAAAACAATACTAATATCCTTTAACAATATTGATCGTTTGACAGCGACACACTATCTACTGAAATATATTGGATGGATAGGTCGTAGATACGTCTTTCTTTGCGCATAAATATCTTAACAAGATGTTGTGAATAGTTGGGTTTGGTGAGAAGAAATTATTCATCGAAGTTCATTTTGAATGGTAAGATGAAAAAATACTTTATTTGGGAGCGTGTAATCAAGGGGTAAATATAATGTCACTGGTGAGAAGTGAATTGAACTGTCTTTGTTGCACTGAAATTCACAAAAAGCAGGATTAGTGTTGGCTGTTGATTTTATCGTTTTTTGCTTTGTTGTTTCGACTAACGCGGATAGGTGAAGATGAGCCCTCACCCATCCTTAACACCCTCACCCTCGAACGAAGTGTGATTTAGCGTGAGTCGTATTGCTTTCTCACCTTCATTTTCGCAAATATGCCAACAATGGTACGCACATTGCTTCATACTTTGCATTGACTTCTATCAAATAGAATACATATTGTATTGAGGGTGTGTGGGTGAGATTTTTAATCGGATTTTGTGTTCTGTTAACGAAACTTTACATAAACTTATCAATGGTGAAGGCTAATCTGATATTCCATTTAATGAGACTCTATGGTATAAATAACTCTTATGATTCGAGCAACTGTACTCTCGTTCAATCTTGTCACATATATATTTTTAACTACAATACAGTAATGTCTCTTATCGAAAAACTGTTATCGGAAAAGAAAAAAGCCAATGATTGCACATGAAGGCTATATTTACAGTCAAGAAGAAGCTAAAACAACTAAAATTATTTTTCGATGTCCGGAACGAAGTTGTAAAGGTAAATATCAAAGCGATATGTTTGATTTAATTAAAAGACATTTTTACAGTAAGGTCGATTTCATACAAGTTTATCAATACCAAAATTTATAAACATTTTCTATTAGAACAGCAATAGGAATTTGACATTAGCTTCGAATGATGAAGTAGTGATTTTATATCATTATGTGTGAACGAAGAAAAAGAATATAAGGCGTATCTATGTACGAATGTTTCGCTTTATCAGTTGCACGAGGAAGAATTGTTTTTTGGACACTGTTTAACAAAAATAAGTGATGCAGATAAAACTATACAGCTTTTGACGGATGTGAAGCGGATTCGGATAATTTTCATCAAGATCCCGACTATGAAGAGGAAGATACAAAATCCAAAGTTTTCGAGAACTTCACTCTCTCTCTCTCTCTTATGCAACGGGCTCTAGAATTTTATGATACTATCAATCCTACAGCAGGTAAAAGAAATCACACATTGAACAATGTAAAACAAAACTTTCAACGTACAACTTACGAATATTATATGGCTCCTTTCCGAAAATGCGTCAAGGAAGAGAGGACGAAAAAGTAGAAGGTCGACTCTGTCGATGATTTCGATTATATCCGAGATTTACTATGTCCTGTGCATGACATCGATCTGAAAAGATGGGGTTATCAACAAGCAAGATCAATGTCATTAAATTTTAAACAGTAACACGGTATTTGTTCACGTAAAATAACTAAGGTAGTGTCAAAGCGAGAGATGAAGAATGAAAATGGTATTCAAAAATCGACTGATCTATCTGTGGCGGAGATACGGAAGCTTCTTTCGCACTATCAAGAAGATAATGTTTTCAATACTGATCAGTCGGAGCTGGAACTTGAAATACATTCTGGTCGCACTCTCAGTTACGATGGCAAAAAAAAACGGCGCTTTCAATGATCCGTTCTAGAAATACTACTACTCACAGTTAAACTGTACAATCGATGATGATTATGCTGGTAAAGTGAATGGACCGGTTTTCTTACGCGTCTCAAAGAACCGAATGAGCGATACTATCGCAATAACGTGTAGTGCCTCGGGTAAACGCACGATCTCGTTATTTAAGTACTGACGTGACAACGTGCACATTCCCTCAATCGCTGATTCACCTCGAACCCTTCTACTCTCTCACAGTTGGCTCGGCCAAGGCGATGGAAAGAGTAATTATGAAAAGGTAAGGGATTGTAAACAAATCGAAATTCCACCAAAGACAACGGCTAAAATCCAACTTCTTTTTTAACCACAAATATATAGTTATTCTCGATAATATTGATATCCAAATGGCTTAACGCAATAACACCATCAAACTCCATTTGCTCATTCACAATCAAATCTCCGCTTCCATCTATACGCCTATGATACTCAATCTGACATATCTTCTTTGGAAGTCGCTAATGGAGTGAACCAAAAGGGGGTGCTGCATTACTAACTAGAATCTACAAGACAAGAGTAGTCTGGGCCCTACGGCTTTTTATCAACTCGAGAGATCCATTCAATCTGAGCCACCCGTTAAGCATACACCTTTTTCACACCCTTCAGAAAATATGGTAAACAAGAAGAAGAGAAGAGAGAACAGCAATTTTCAGCTAAAAGTTTTCATGTTTTGAAAGAGTAACTACAGAAATATTTACTTTTCTTATACATAAAGTGAACGCAAAAAGTCTGAATAATACATTTTGTTCTCTCGCTGCCAAAGAAAAACATCAACTTATTTCACTTTGAATTGTTTCTGTACAAAGAAATTCTTCTTTAATCATATTGACATGGAGAAAGCTTATTCAAAGTCAGTTTTACGAATTCCATCGAAACAATTAGAAACTAGAGATCTAAATCAATCGAATAGCTATTCAACAAGAAAATCCAAGTTTGATTTATTATATTGAATTCATTTCTCTTTGTCAATTGTCCAATATAATTAGATGTACTATTCGACGATGTATATGTCTTCAATTATTAATTCTCTTGGGTCTTCTTACATTAGCAGCACTTATTATTCCGATTGTTGTTCTCGTATATGGTAAGTTGAAACAAAAATTCTTTTACTTTTCTTATTTCTTTATATTTTCTAGATAATCTAAACAATGGTAAGTAATCGGAATGAAGTCTTTCTATATATCGATATAATATCATCTTTGTAGCATGTGCAGTCACGTATAGCGATACTTTTACATATACTGCATTTCCAACAACAGCTCAATGTTCAAATTGGCAAACTTTTACAAGTACTTTAACTTGTCGAAGCTATTCCAAAATGCATATTTATGGTTCAAATGATCAGACAGGCGTGACTTTAACAGATTCATTTGTTGTTACTGCACTTGCTACAGCTTTGAGATATAATGGATCAATTACTATTAATTCAAATGGAGCTATTTGGAGTGTTGGTTCATGTTGGGGTGGTTATGGAATTGGTTCGACCGGTAGTTGTAATTGTGGTAATGGCTATGCAGTTAGACCATGTGTTAATTCTGCTTACTATTGGGGAGGAACAGCTGGTACAATATGTAATGCACAATCGCAAACTCTATCGATTTCTTTTTCATGAAATGAGTAAAAATTATGAAATAAAATCAAATTTCATTTGAAAAAAGAGCCTTACAGAAATAGATTATTCGTATTTCACTATGATTGAAAAACAGTATGTAAGAATGAAAAGAGCAATTTTTCTCTACACAGTTTAACATGAATTCAATCAGAATAAAGGAGCTTGAATGTAGTGCGTTGGGTCTTAATGAAGAGTTAGCTTAATTGTACTATGAAGGGCTCAGAAACGTATTTCAAAATCCTTAGTGTGATACCGCACTAAAAGATGCAGCATTGAAAGCTGAGCAAAACTGCCTGTTTGCATCTTCTTTCTCTATTAACTTAAAATTGTTTTCAGACAGCACCATGCTGAAAAGAAGCTATTTTTCCAGTGGAAAAAGGGAAGTGTCTTTCAGAGTATCAGCTGTCGTTCCGTCAAAACACGAGAACCCAAGCTGAACTTCTGATATATTGTACATTTTATTCTCCTCTGCAAAATGATTTTTTTAAAGAAATATCGAATATTTCTCAAGTCTATAGTATCATCAGATCAAGAAATGAATCTAATATTCGGAATCAACACAAAAGCCTGCATTAAAAACCATCAAAACTAGGGACAGAAAATGTTTGTAAATAAGCTGATCGGAAGAGAATCTCAATATGTAATACTTTGTTCTTCTTCCAATACTCGCATATTTTCCATATAAAATGAGAGTATAGCAATAATCTAGTGTATTATGAAGTGTTCTGCAAGTTTATAGCCGAGTTATGAATACATTTCATGTTTTTTTCGTTTCATTTCTCATTAGGTTCCTCTCGGCGATTATTTTGATTACAAAAATCTCGTCAAAAAGTTTCGCTTTGGTAATAAATAAGTATGCAACAATTCCGATTCGATTCTGATTCTAGAATTGGCCCAGAATCGACCAGCAGTGGCTGGAATCGAGCCGAGATATATTCAAATATATTACTACTATTAACTAAACTGTGAAAGTTGTTAACTATGGTATGTCAGTTCTGAACCAATTCCAGTCAATCCTAGTCAGTTTCATTCGATTTTGGAATCTGGATTGGTGCATGACTACTTCTGACCAGTCACCTTCACCCAGTTGCGGGAAGCGAGAACTATGAAACAAGAAATACAGATGATTTGATTTGAGCGGCAAATGGCAAGAGATAATGAAGTACAGTAGGCAGTCAATTGTACGGGCCCGAGATCATCCAAAATATAACGGCGAGAGATAGATTTGAATTACTCGTCTAGTTCTGGCTTCTTTCGGACAATCATAATCATCACTCAAACCAAGATAGGCTAATCAAGCTGAAATCACTTCTGGATTTGCGGAGAGGCAGATTTTCGTCTGTATATGTTCTTGGTGCATTTGTTAAAGTCGATGAAACTATGACACCATGGCGTAGAAGACTTTTTGTTCAAACAATATATACCTGGAAGAACGCACCAATATGGAATGAAAATGTACAAGATAGCGGCTATAAACGGATAAACATGGAATTATTTGATCTATACTGGTGAACAAGATCCGATGGCAGATGCTGGGCAGGCTGAGACAGTCGTGATGAACTTATTGAATGGGCTCTCAGCATGTTATCGAACTGTAGTAGCTGACAACTTCTCTACCAGTATTTCCCTTGCAAAGTGTTTGTTGGCACACGACACATACCTTATTGGAACACTGAGAAGTAATCGTGCCGCGTCAGGAAGAGAACTTCTTCAACAACAGCTGCGGTAGACACTGGAAAAGCAAATTTGCAAAATGAGTCAATTATGAAGTCACAAGTTGTGTTAGATTATAACAAAGGAAGACAAGATATTGATTTATCTGACCAACTGACAGCATATTATACATGTCCCAGTCAATCTATAAAATGATATTGATAGGTGGTATTTGAATTGACTTTTGGAACAGCTATAGTGAACAGTTATCTGGTATATAAGGAATAACATTCAGCAAACAATATGACGATTCTGAAGTTTCGTGAAAGTCTTGTGAGATCGTTACTGCTCGGCATGTTATTCGAGCAACTGAAACTAAGTCTAAGACAAAAATCTATAAGCCAAACGAAGCGCAAACTTGCTGACCATATACTCGAAGACGCTATGCTGGTTGCTACGAGAAAATCAGTCAACAACAATCGAGAGAAATCGGTCATGCAGCTGCAAAGAACGTAAAAACTTGCTGCCCTGATTGTTTCAATCAGAAGCATCTTACTTTCTAATAAACGGCTAAATGATACCAAGGGTACAGTTAATGACATATAATGTGTGACATCTGACTAAGAAAAAAGATAGAAAAAGGTTTTTCCCTATCGAGTTTCTTATAAAAAAACAGAATGTGGAACCGACTGGTGGGTCCCATCGTGTCGAATGTGTTAAAACATTTTCTTTGTAATCATTCCTCATTGATAATATTTTAAATATACATTCAGAGAAGAACGTCAGCGGAAAAGGAAATAGATGGAAAAAGAGCAGATGTTCTATATTTTCATTTGAAACTCTTCGATAAAAAAATGAAGTTGATACAGATCTTCATGCTTCTCTCAATATATTTCAAATGTTATTCTCGTTATACATTTTATCATAGAAATAACGATCAAACATTCGATTGTTTATATGCTCATATAGAATATTCTCATCAAATCGATAGCGGAGCTTATCTAACACTTTCACACCTCATTCCTTTTTGTCAACAATTCAATGAAAACGACAAACCAAATGAAAATGTGGAAAATGGCATAAGTTTTGAAGATCTATCGAGAAACGGAATATCAAGTTCGCAATTATTGAAATGGTTTGTTCCAATTGATATTGCAGAAGAATATGAAATCAATAGTAAACATTCGAATGAATTCTTTTATAATTGTTCATTTCCTTGGTTTGGTTCAACATGTCAATTTCAATTAATTAAAGATGAAGAAGTCACATTTGGTGAACTTGTTCGTTTTATTTTTCTCGAACGTGATTCTCCATCATCTGATCTTGATTTTCCTATTGGTACATGTTATCTCTTCTTGAAGAATTGTATTCGTGGACCATCACCAGTGTGTCTCGATTGGCGTGAAATTTGTAATGGTGTTAATGATTGTATTGATGGAGAAGATGAAGAATTTTGTGCTTTATTAGAAGAAAATCGATGTTCAAATGAAGAATTTCAATGTGTGAGAAGTAAAGAATGTATTTCACGAACATTTGTCAATGACCACACAGAAAGTCTTGATTGTCTTGATACGAGTGATGAAAAAGAAAAATTCGAAACGGAATTTGGAGAAAATTGTATCAAATTTCCAACATTTGAGTGTGAAGAAATAGGTCGTGGTGTTCGGGATTATTTTTCATGCGGCGATGGGCAAATAAAGTTAAATCTAATGCCTCGTTTTCACGCTTTTTGTGCAAATCTACGAGATCAACACATGACAAAAACTCTTTTTACTTCATTTCATTACATTTCCAATGTTCCATGTCGAAAACTTCTCATGTGTTACATTCGTCCTGATCGAATTCATTTTCTTTCACATTTACCGGATGAAATTCATTGTGAACTTCCCCTTGAACATTGTCCATTGAAATGGGTCGTCTTTCCCGAATATCCCATACTTTACTCAACGTTCCAATTTGTTTATTTTACAAATCGATCGATATCTTTATCAACAGATGATATTACACCAGATTTGATTTGTTTTAACGCAATTCGATGTCCAGAGTATGTCTTTTGTTCGATAGATATCGAAATACAACATGGTCTCCATTGTTGTCGGGCTTTTGATATATTATATGATCCAATTGATACCTGGGACGCATTTCAGCTTATGTTTGAACTTATTTTTCAAAATTGTTTCAAAATTATTCAAAGTGATACATCATTATCGATTGATGAAAACGCAAATTCCTCTGTAAATCTCTGGTTGAATTCACATAAAACATTTCCATTTGCACATTTTTGTGATGGTCAATGGCACATACGAGATAATGACGAATCGACGGAAACTGATGAAACTAATTGTGATTTATGGCCATGTAATAATCCGTATACTCGATGTAATCAATATTTACATTGTTGGAATGCAATTGATGAAGTCAATTGTCCTAAAGATCAATGTGGATCTGATGAACTTTATTGTAAAGATGAGGCATTTCAGATTCGTTATTGTTTACCGAGATCATTTCTAGCAGATGATCATACGAAATTTACTTCAGATCGATATTCACGAGTTGTACATTTAATCAATGAAACAATCGGTGATGTGAGAAATTATTTCTTTTGGAATCAAACCAAATGTCTCACTGTGGAATATTCGAATCGAAATGATTTGACACGATTAGTAGCAAATAATAACGATGCTTGTTTAATCCCGAAACATCCGAAATTTGTTTTTCCTAAAACTATGATTGTTATGAGAAACAAAACAGATCTTTGTAGAGCTGGTTCAACTGTTGCGAGTAATTATATTGAAGATCGACCATATCTTCAATCAGCACATTTGGGTTATTTTCCATCGATTGTTCCTCCGACTTCTCATCAATCAACAATGGTTCAATCAGATGAAGCATCTCCTATCGATCTTCATACAGATGAAGTTGTTAGTTGGTATTGTAATCGAGGATTTGCCATTTTTTATCAAAAAAATCGAACGATCAAATGTCTTTGTCCACCAAGTTATTTTGGTTCACGATGTCAATGGCAAAACCAATGTATTAGTTTATCATTTCAATTGAAATATTTCACTTTCATGTATGAAATGCCTATTTTCCAAGTCATTCTCATGCTTATTGATGATCAAAGACAAATTTCCCCGTACAATGAACAAACAATTCATGTCCCGAAACGTGATTGTGGAATTAAATATCATTTTTATTTACTTTATCCATCAAGACCAAAGAATTCTTCGCTGAATTATTCAGTTCAGATTGATATTTTCAATCGAATTACATTGACACATTGGGCAAGTTGGCTTTNGAGTAAAAATATTCTATGGCAAAATTTGATTCAATTTCACAAGAAAACATTTTAGTGTTCATCCTCGAACAAAACATGATGTCGCTTATCGATTATCACGGGCAGGTTTAGCAGTTGCTTATGGACAAACCGTCGAATTTCAGGGTCCAATTGTCGCGAATGTCACTTATAATTCGGCCACAAACACAATTATTTTTAGATATACAGCAGTGAAGTCGATTGAAGTGAGAAATACAAATGGATTTCAAGTAAAAACTTTAAGTTTGGAATATCAAATGAACTTGAATGTAATTTTTAAGGTTTGTTGTCAAGGAACACAATGTCGAAATGATGGTAATTGGATATCTGCAAATATCATCAGTAGTGATGCACTGAGTGTGACTGTCAAAGCACCGGCTGTGTGTGATTCGAAAGTACTTTATGGAACGCGTTATCTTTGGTTAGAAACACCATGTCTATTCAAACAAGCAGCAATTTACAGTTCAACAGATTCCAATTTACCTTCACCACCTTATTACAAAGTCTTTTGACACTTAAAAGTACTTTTAAACGAGAATATCTTCTTTATTTCACAACAAAAACGTTTTGACTTGATAATAAAATATGAAGAGAAAAAAAAGATTTTTCTTTAGACGCTCGTTGTCCGTTGATTAAAATACATATGAACCGAGAAAAGAATTCAATGGAAGTCATTTATATTCGATTAATTTGGTCAACATATTACGAACGCTTTTTCTGATCTCTTTCTTCTTGAATTTCTCATCCTGGTCACTTCTATATTTCTAAAACGAACATTTATTGGAAATATGATCTCATAGATCAACTTTATCTGTCTATCGAATGAAATTCATTGATTGTGTATGGAAAAGACTTCGGAATCTTACGGAACTTTTTCTCTGGAAAAACAAAAACTATGATTGATGATTGATAAAATCATACTTCAGTAAATGAAAACAACCAAAAGAGTAAATAAATGAATCAAGAAGTGTTCTCGCACGAGATAATTCATTCGAGTCGAATTTCAGTAAGAGTCACTAAACTGATTTCTAAATCTCAAATTTTTCTTTTGATCTCATTGATTTCTGAGCTGAAAATCAGTTTTTCTCTCGTGGAATGACTAGAGAATTAGAATCAAGTCATATTATATCTTCAACAAACTTTGATAATATACGAACAAAATCAGGTCTAAGTGAAGACATTCCAACGAAGATTAGAAACAGTAACATTCATGAAAAGACTTTTTTTGCAGATGTCGAAATTAATTGAAATATGATCAAAATATCAAGAGCAATGTCTTCTTCATCAATGACATAATTGATTTCTTTGTTTATATTTATTAATAATTTTAAAATTCAATTCAAATACTTCATTGCTTGACAAATCGAACTGTTTCGTTTCTATTTACTTTTGTTGTAATAGACATTTTGTTGGAAATTTCTTCACTAAACAAAAAAACATATTTTTATTCATAAAGAAATTTCTCTTGTTAATTTTCTTTTTATGAAGATCTTTTTCCATAGGTTTTATTCGTCGCATTGTAGATATTCAATTTAAGATTATTTGTGGACGAGAAATCGAGTGTGCATAAGAACAAAAAAAAAATGTTCACATATACATGTGCAGTTTCCTCCATTCTCAAAGCATTGTATCTAAACAACGATACGGTCACTGTGCATCGCTTTTAAATATAAAATCAGCATGAGATAATGTATGATATATTTTCATTTAATTAGTCATAAAAGAAAGATAAAGAATTTGCCTTTCTAGTAAATTAAGGTGAATGACATTAATTCGTGTTTTTATATCTCTACATTATGTTGATGTTTTATGATTCACAGCAAAGTAAAAGTACGTTCGTATGCCCCAAGCAATCTTATTTATAAAGACAATATTTTTTTGTACTTTCATCCAGCTTGTCAATAGAATCATTAAAAAAAATGTACAGAAACAGTATGTCAACTTATTGTGAAGAAAAAAGGGCGTAATAATCATGACTCTCGAAATACGACGTTTAATTATTCATAAATGTCGAAGGAGAATGAAAAGAAAAAAAAAGTATGCGCGGTGGTTGCCTTACACATTTTTTTTAAAAATCGATAAACAAAACAACTTACTATACTTATATTTGTTGTGAAGTTGTGACATCAGAAAAAAAAATGTCAACAACAACGATACCGGACTCTGATAATTCTACTTCACAAGAAGATAATCGATTAGCATATGCTCATGGTACAGTAATGACTATAACATGGATGGTTTTTGCTTCGACAGGTATTCTTTTCGCTCGTTATGGTCGATTATTACGTATTGGTAGTAAAAGAAAAATTCTTGGTGAATTTATTTGGTTTCAAGCTCATCGTTTAACTCTTTCTCTGGCTGCTTTTTCTACTCTTCTTGGTTTTTTTCTTGTATTGGCTCAAGCAACAGGAAGTTGGGTGAATTTAGATGACGATGGACCATATGTTGTTGCTCATTCAATCTTGGGTATAATAATTGTTGGTTTTGCTCTAATTCAAATTTGGATGGCATTATTTCGTTGTCATCCAACTACTCGTTTTCGTTTTATTTTCAATTGGCTTCATCGATCTGTAGGACTCTTAGCTTTTGTTCTTTCTATTCCGACTATTTTTCTTATTATCAGTACTTTAACTAATTATCAAAGTGGTTTATACATTGTTATGTCAATTTGGACAGGCTGGACTGTTTTCATTTTCGGTCTATTGGAAATTTTGACGTATCTCAATCAGAGAAACTCTACATCGTCATCAGAACATACTTATAGAACTGACAGAGAATATGAACTTCGTCCATCAAGTTCAATTTCAAATAACAATACGGATAATGATCAAGAAGATCGTTTTAATCAAATGAAGTTAATTCTTCTTGGCATTTATGTGATAATTGCTATTGCTCTTGTCATTCCATTTATTGTTCTGATTTGGCAACAGAATTAATACTATTCGTTTGTTCAAATTGAATCAATTACATTTAAAACAGTTGATATTTTTCTCTAGTATTAGTTGAATTAATTTTTTTAACAGATTTGTATACTATTTGTAGATTTATTTTTTCGAATGTACAAATTCTAAAAAAAGATTCGTTGATGTTAGTTTTAACAGAATTTGACTTGCTCGAAATACAATCAAATTGTTAAATTCATGAACAGGAAATATTCTAATTTATGTACAACTGTAGTTTCTTCCGTTTTATTTGAAATAACACTCGCAAGAAGAAATAGACACTATGAGCACAACACTATCTAAAATAATATTCAGAATAGGAGTTATAGCATTCTAGTTTTTTGTATCATTATAAGTACTATGACAATTATTTATCTATGTTAAAAGTCTATATTCGAGTGCAAGTAAAAAAATACTAATATCCTTTAACAATATTGACCGTTTGACAGCAACACACTCTACATGGAATATATTGGATAGATACGTCTATCTTTGTGCATAAATATTTTAACAAGATGTTGTGGTGAATGGTTCACTTTTCAGAAGATAATTATTTTATTTGAAACACGATTGAAATATAAGAAAAATTATTTTCTAACAATTGATCATGTCAGCCAACTTTTAATGCTATTATGCATGTTCTCTCAAATACATTCACACTATGTATCACAATGAGTCCAGTACGCCATGATCCACATTCCGACCTTGCGAAATAAGAGTCTCATCCGATAATTTGAACTTTGTTGTTTACATTAAAAAAAAATGTTAATTCATTTAACATAACAAACATCAAGGAAAAGATGGAGAAACGAAACTTTTTCTTTGTTCTATTCCTGGCATAACTGTTTACTGATATTGGATGTTTCAGTATCTAGAAGAAGAAAAAAGACGTTGTGAATAGTTAGATTTGATGAGAAGAAGTTATCCATCGAGGTTGATTTTGAATGGTAAGATGAAAAATACCTTATTTGATCGTATGTAATCAATGAGCAAGTATAATGTCAATGCTGAGAGGTGAATTGAACTGTTTTTGTCACACTGAATTTCACAAAAAAACAGGGTTAGTGTTAGGTGTTGATTTTGTTGTTTCGACTAACATGGATGGGTGAGAATGGAGGATGAGCCCTCACCGACCCTTAGCACGTACTATGTTAGAAACCGACAGTATCGATCCAGCTTACTTAGTTCTATCGAACGAAGTGTAATTCACCATGAGTCGTATTGCTTTCTCACTTTCATTATCTCAAAACGATGATAGATTTGCTTGTTGTCAGAACTTTAATTCATACATTCATTTTCGCAAATATCCCAACAATGATACGTATATATTGTTTCATACTTTTCATTGACTTCTATCAAATAAAATATATGTTGACACTAACTTCATTTACTCTTGATCTATTCTATGCAAAAAAAAAGCCGTCATTTCGTCGCATAGTTCTCTCTCCCTCTGGATTGCTTTCTTAATGCTTGATTTTATAGAAACAGATCTAATTAATAAACAATGATAGAGAGACGTTATAAAAGATTGATACTGTAAAACGCATGAAAAATCCGTAAAAACAATAAGATTATCAGATCGTGTTCAATTCCTAACTTATATAAGGAAGTTGAAGCAATTAACTTTTAACCGGATTTTGTGTTATTTTAACGAAATTTTACATAAAGTTATCAATGATGAAGACGAATGTGATATTCCGTATACTGTGACTCTATGGTATTAATAACTCTTATGATTCGAGCAACTGTACTTTCATTCAATATTCTCACATATATATTTTTAACTACAATCTAGTAATGTCTCTTATCGAAAAACTATTATCGGAAAAGAAAAAAGCCAATGATTGCACATGAAGGTTATATTTACAGTCAAGAAGAAGCTAAAACAACTAAAATTATTCTTCGATGTCCAAAACGAAGTTGTAAAGGTAAATAACAAAGCGGTATGTTTGATTTAATAAAAAGAAATTTTTACAGTAAGGTCGATGTCATACAAGTTTATCAATACCAAAATTCATATATATTTTCTATTAGAACAGCACAAGGAATTTGACATTAGCTTCGAATGAAGAAGTAGTGATTTCATGTTGATGCTGCCTGATGATTTGATACATAACATTGTGTGTGAACGAAGAAAAAGGATATAAGACGTATATAGGTACGAATATTTCCCTTTATCAGTTGCACGAGAAAGAGTTGTTTTTTGGACACTGTTTAACAAAAATAAGTGATGCAGATAAAATTATACAGCTTTTGACGGATAAAGCGTTTCAATAACTATCCAATTGTTTGCCCAGTTCGGTCGTGAATGAAGAAGAAGAAGAAGAAGCGGCTACTCATGTGTTGAAAATTCTAGAGTCGATCTTAAATAGTGATTTGTACGCTCATCAATTTGAGAATACGCTCGATCCTTGACTCGGCATTCGACGGATGTGAAGTGGATTCGGATAATTTTCATCAAGATCCCGACTATGAAGAGGAATATTCAAAATCCAAAGTGTTCGAGAACTTCACCCTCTCTCTTATATGAAACGGGCTTACAGCAGGTGAAATCACACATAGAACAATGTAAAACATCACTTTCAACGTATATCTTACCAATATTATATGGCTCGATTCCGAAAATGCGTCGAGGAAGAAGGGACGAAAAAGCAGAAGGTCGACTCTGTTGATGATTTCGTGTATGATAAGTTCGAGCATTCCCGAGATTTACTATATCCTGTGCATGACATCGATCTAGATAAGGTGGGGTTATCAACAGGCAAGATCAACGTCGTTCAATTTTAAACACTAACACGATATCTGTTCACGTAAAATATATAAGGTAGTGTCAAAGCGAGAGGTGAAGAATGAAAATGTTATTCAAAAATCGGCTGATCTATTTGTGGCGGAGATATGGAAGCTTCTTTCGCACTATGAAGAAGATAATGTTTCAATACTGATCAATCGGAGCTGGAACTTAAAATACATTCTGGTCGCACTCTCAATTACCATGGCGAGAAAACGACGCTTTCAATGGTCCGTTCTAGATATACTATTACTCACAGTTACACTGTATAATCGATGATCAGCTTGGTGGTAAAATGATTGGACCGGTTTTCTTACATCTCAAAGAACCGAATGGGCGAATGAGTGATAATATCGCAATAACGTGTAGTGCCTCGGGCAAACGCACGATCTCGTTGTTCAAGTACTGGCGTGACAACGTGTTCATTTCCTCAATCGCTGATTTATCTCGAACCCTTCTACTCTCTGACAGTTGGTCCGATCAAGGCGATGGAAAGGGTATCTATGAAAAGGTAAGGGATTGTAAACAAATCGAAATTCCATCAAAGACAACGACTAAAATTCAACGTCTTTTTTCACCACAAACATATAGTTATTCTCGATGATATTGATATCCAAATGGCTTAAAGCAACAACATCATCAAACTCCATTCGCTCATTCACAAGCAGATCTCGGCTTGCATCTATACGCCTATGATACTCAATCTGACATTTCGTCATGTGACTCCCTTTCATTTATACATTGCAGTTACTGCAGAAGAATTCTATGCTTCGATCATATCTTTCTCGAATACTATATGCACTAATCAATGCTAACAAACAACAATACCTGTCGACCGTTTCCTTTCTTCTTTTCACACCTTATCATTAAAAAGCACAAATATATGTATTGATAATAGTGTTAGTGAAAAAATCGAAAATGGAGGAAGAAGTGTATTTTTCGAGTGAAACTTGAAATAGGCATATCTTCTTTGGAAGTCGATAAGGGGATGGACTAAACGGGGGTATTGCATTACTAACTAAGTCCTACAAGACAAGAGTAGTTCGAGCCCTAAAGCTGTTTATCACCTCGAGAGGTTCCTTCGTGAGAGGTCCATTCAAACTGAGCCGCTCGTTACGCATGCACCTTTTTCACACCCTTCGAAAAATAAGGTAAACGAGAAGAAGAGAAGAGAAGAGAAGAGAGAACAGCAATTTTCAGCTAAAAGTTTTCATGTTTTGAAAGAGTAATTACAGAAATATTTACTTTTCTTATACATAAAATAAATGCAAAAATTTCTGAATAATACGTTTTGTTCTCTCGCTGCCAAAGAAAAACATCAACTTATTTCACTGTGAATTGTTTCTGTACAAAGAAATTCTTCTTTAATCATACTGACATGGAGAAAGCTTATTCAAAGTCAGTTTTACAAATTCCATCGAAAAAATTAGAAACTAGAGATCTAAATCAATCGAATAACTATTCAACAAGAAAATCCAAGTTTGATTTATTATATTGAATTCATTTCTCTTTATTAATTGTTCAATATAATTAGATGTACTATTCGACGATGTATATGTCTTCAATTATTAATTCTCTTGGGTCTTCTCACATTAGCAGCACTTATTATTCCGATTGTTGTTCTCGTATATGGCAAGTTGAGACAAAAATTCTTTTACTTCTCTTATTTCTTTAAATTTTTTAGATAATGTAAACAACTGTAAGTAACCGGAATGATGTCTTTCTATATATCGATATAATATTATCTTTGTAGCATGTGCAGTCACGTATAGTGATACTTTTACATATACTGCATTTCCAACAACAGCTCAATGTTCAAATTGGCAAACTTTTACAAGTACTTTAACTTGTCGAAGCTATTCCAAAATGCATATTTATGGTTCAAATGATCAAACAGGCGCGGTTTTAACAGATTCATTTGTCGTCACTGCACTTGCTGCAGCTTTGAGATATAATGGATCAATTACTATTAATTCAAATGGAGCTATTTGGAGTGTTGGTTCATGTTGGGGTGGTTATGGAATTGGTTCGACCGGTAGTTGTAATTGTGGTAATGGCTATGCAGTTAGACCATGTGTCACTTCTACTTACTATTGGGGAGGAACAGCTGGTACAATATGTAATGCACAATCACAAACTCTATCGATTTCTTTTTCATGAAATGAGTAAAAATTATGAAATAAAATCAAATTTTGTTTGAAAAAAGAGCCTTACAGAAATAGATTATTCGTATTTCACTATGATTTAAAAAAAGTATGTAAAAATGAAAAGAGCAATTTTTCTC